GGCATATTTAGAGTTGTGCGATCATCACTAAAATCTGATTTTAGTACATTTTAATCACCTTATGTACCTACATCAGCAGGCACCCTACCAGCCCCCCTTTCTTCCAAGGTAATCACTAGTTTTTCTTCTTTCTCTATAGTTAACTATTAACATTTTATAAGTGGACTCATATAAAATGTGGCCTTTTGTGCCTTGTTTCTTTCATTTTGCATAATGTTATTGAAATTCCTCCGCCTTACAGTATGCATCAGTATTTCATTTCTTTTTGTTGCCAATTAATATGCCATTGTACGGACACATCACTACTAATTCATCAGGGGGATTTTTCGGTTGTTTCCACTTTTGGCTTATGAATAGTGCTGCTATAAACATGTGTGTACAAGTTTGGGGGTAGACATATGCTTTCATTTCTCCTGGATATACACTTAGGAAATGCTGGATCATATCACTCTGTTTAACACTTCAAGGAACTATCAAACTTCCAACATGACTGCACCATTCTACATTTCCACCATGGGGGTTCCAACTTCTTTACTTTTGTTTGAATCTTATAGAACAAGAACAGTCCCACTACACAAAATCCTTACCCTCATGGAACTAATATTCTGATAGAACAAAACAAGAAATACACAGAATCAAATAAACAAACTGGCAATTTTTACAAAAATGAAGAAAACACAGAGTAAATCAATCAGGAAGTAACCAAACAAGAGGGACTCTAGAATGATCACAAAAGACTTATCTGCGAAAGTAATGCAGACCTGAAATGTGAAGAAGTAACTGGAGGTGGGTATGTTATAGGAAGAAGAAATGGCAAGTAATAAAACTAAGTCTACATGTTTGAGAAGTAAAAATGTGCCAAAGTGGATGAAGTATAATGAAAAGGCAAAATTCGCAAATTAAGTTGGGAAGGTAAGCAGAGGCCAGATAACCGTAGGTCTCACAGATTAGGATAAAGTCTTTCAATTTTGCCTAAAATGCCATAATCCTTTTCTAATCTCTTATCTTTGTTTAAATATGGGTGTTCATTTCTGCAAACATTTACTGAACTTTCATGTATCTTCTGATCACGCACACATTAGCAAATATTAAAGATACTTTTTAGGTACATCAGCACCATTCATTTAGTATCATTATTTAGAGGCCAAGAAAGAACACCTAAAATATGGCTTCCAATGGCGTTTTGGTAAAAAGGTACAACCATATGCACGAATCCTCACATATTTATCTCCTAGTCTTAACCAATTTAAGAAGAAAGCCTTACTGACAATTATTTGCAGCTCTCTTAGATTATCAAGATCATATTTCAATAAAGTCAATTAAGAATATAGCTTAAGCTTAGTCTCATAATTTAAACCTAGATTTCATTCTTATAAACTGAATTATAATTAACTGGTTTTTTTCCATTCTATTAAAAATTCAACCTTAAACCTATGAGTAAAAAAAATAGTCTACATTTTATACTGTTTAAATCCCCCTCCACCCCAGTACTAGGGATTTAAACCTGGGGTGCTCTACCACTGCGCTACATTTCCAGGCCCTTTTATTATGTTTTATTCTGAGACAGAGGTCTCGCTAAATTGCAAAGGCTGGCCTAGAACTTCTATGGTCACACTGAGATTACAGGTGTCAACCATCATGCCTGTTTTTGTTGTTGTTGTTGTTGTTGTTGTTGTTTTTTTGAGGTGGGGTCTCATTATGTTGCTCAGGCTAACTTTGAACTCCTGAGTCTCCTGCCTCAACATTCTAAGATACGTGTCACCTAGTCCTAGATTGAGTCTTTTTAAATAAGTTTTTTTTTTCCTCTGCATATTACAGCTATGTTCAGGATTTTCAAAGAGGAAAAAAAATATTTTCAAAACTCGAATGACATAAAAGGTCACTCTGATAAAAGAACCTGTTACCTAATCAAAACTTATCAAGTTAAAACTCCTTTCTAGGGTCAGGGCTTGATTTCCCATAGTTCTCCCTCCAGGCACTCTGCTCCTGCCAAACCAGACTACTTGCTAGCCTCTTGGTACTTGTCCCCCACCATCTCAGGCTTATGATTCACATTCCCCACCAGGAGAAATCCAACCAGTTCTTCAAGGTCCAGAACGCACACTCTTCCCTCCAAGTCTCTTCTCCAGTTCTTTTACCCAAGTATAATTGATTCTTCATCTCTGTGTTCCAGTAGCAATTTCTACAACTCACTGTGTTGCCTTATATTCCATCTGGTGCACAACTATAGTAAAGAAATCTGTGTCTTGGATAGGGTTGCCATCAACCACTCCCCTTGGCTCACCCCAAATACACAGTGTGACTAGTTACAATTAAGAGTGGTCAAATTTAAAATAATGCAGTTTAGCACCATTGGATTCACATAATACCAAGTCATTTCAAAAATTAAGCCCTCTATGGAGACAAACTAAAGTAGAGGTAAATTTCCTTCCTTCCAAATTTGGACCTAACTCTTCAGTATCTGGTTATTAATAACAACACAATAACACTCCTTATTTAAATGAAACTTCTCCACTTTCATTACCTACACAAGAATTATTCTTGCAATGCTATCTGAAGTTTGTAAGGTGTATTCAAGAATTTATGACGGTAAAGCTAGAGTTCAGAGAAGGTGAAAGATTTCCACAAGTTCACACAGTTAATCATAGGACAAAATGTGATTCCATTCAGTATTAATAGAATACTACCCACAAACATAAAGCACCTGAACATCAGTAACTTCAAAAGCATCTCATGGACTTGTCATGAAGTAAACAAATATTTGAATTAATGAAGATGATTCAAAATTTGTAGTTGTGGCAGTTTCTTTCATCTTTTTCTTTTATTTACAAGTGAAAGACTAATTAATCCTTAATCATGCAGATCACATTAACAGATCATTTTCAAATTTACTATGCAGTTAACAGTTTGGAACACACATATAACCACCAAAACATGCTCATCCACAAGAGTCACTTTTTCCTTACTTGTTCCCAGAAACCCAATAGACTAAACATTATAGCTGCTCCTATTTTCTAATTTCAACTTGCATTTAAGATAACGCTTTTGTTTCATTTACAGCTCACATGCTGCTGACACAGCTGCCCCTTCTTTGTAATAAACACAGGGCTTCTATATTTAAAAATACAGTGAAACTTTGTTATAACATTCCCTCCCCAGTCTCCGGACAATTTTCTCTCATCCAAGATCCACCTCCCCCCAGGACTTTTTAATCAGTGGCACTTAAAACATTGGTCCTTCGGAAAGTCAATTTTGTGCTTCAAAGACGTCTCATCACAGTGGTATTTTCCTTCTGCGTAGTTCTTTGTGTTTTAAGGGAGGGGAGGGAATCCTCTTCCCAAAGGCCCTCTCCTTAGGCTTGGGTACTTTCAGAGCGCAACCAGCGCCAGGAGCGTCAAGTGGGCTAACCTCGCACGCACACCCGGCGAGTGGGGGTGACGGGCAGCTGCGCCGCCGGGAAAGCGCGCCCCTGGGGCCGCTGCCCGAGGCGCTGGGCGTTCCGGACAGGGGGGGTCTCCTAAACAGCCAGCATAAGGACGAGATCACCAACCCCGGACGCCCAGAGCCAGCACCAGAGCAGGGCAAAACCGTCCCGCGTCTCTCCCCCGAGGAGTCAGGAGGGGGTGGCCAAGCAGGGTGTGGGCGCGAGGGGGGCCTGGGGAGGAGATAAGGCGAGACCCGAGTTAATCATCACCTCCCGAGCGTCTGGAAAACTACGGGCCAGGACTGGAGGGGCGGGGGAGCAGCGCCGGAGAAAGTGAAACTCCCCGACCCTCAGACACCTTGAGCTAGAGGGACCCAGAGCGGGACCTGGAGCCTCTACGTTCCCCCTCCAGCCCGCACGGCTGGGGCACTCCTGGTCTCAAAGGAGCACCCCAGCTTTGGACGCGACGAATGACTACATCAGTCCTTCTCTTCTTCTACAAACTGACCCGCACACGGGACGGGTGTCAATCTGAATCACTGGAAATAAAACAGCCCCCCAAACCCGCCTTCCAAAAATAAAGGGCACACTGTTCCCATACCGGGAGTCGAACCCGGGCCGCCTGGGTGAAAACCAGGAATCCTAACCGCTAGACCATATGGGAAGAGCTGCTAGAGATACCGTCGCGACCCACCTGACAAGCGTAAGCGCTGCTACCGCCTTCACTACGCCGTGCACTGCCGCCTCTACTCGAGCGGCTGCCGCCCGCTGCCCACGCGCGCGGGAACGAGCCGGGCCAGAGCGCGCAGCCCGAGCGGGGGAGGGGCGGGGCCGCGCCGCGCCGCGCGACAGGAAAGTTCTAAGGCGAAGCCGAGACTCGAGGGGGTCCCAGAACCAACTCTTTCACCTTTCTTTTTTTAACTCCGCCAACGGCCCCCAGCCTACAGGTCCGGGTTGCTCCGTTGGTCAAAGTGCGTGCGGACTAGTTGGCAAAGTTGAGAGCGACGACGTCTCTGGGAACAGCTGTTTGCGTTCAGGGCGGAGGCGGCGTGCAAGCTCCTTGGCCACGAGCCAGCGAGCCTAGAAGGAGAGTGGAAGTTCTGGATCCCAGGGGAGGACAGAGAGCAGACGGGCTGGCGCGGGGGCTTGAAGTTTCTGTGTTTCGGCTCAAGTCCCGTCGCGCTTTCGCTCCTTCTTCGTGACCTCAACTCCTTTATATCGACCCCACCTCTCAAGATTTTAGAGTACCGCCCCTGTAGGGGGAGGGGAGGAGGAGGAGATTTCGAACGCGGACTGAGTCTTCTGGGCACCCGTAGTTGGGAACTGTGGAACGCTGGTCTCAGGGAAGGTGGGAGGTGTCAGAGCTGAGAGTGAGGTTCCTATGGGCCTCGCAGCTGGCTGGACCGACTCTCTCCGCTTTGAGTGTGTGTGAGTCGGATCCCCGGCGACGCGAGGAGCGGCAGGCGCAGTCATGTGAGTCGGGTCTCAGGCTCTGAACAACGAGGTGTTGTTTCTCTGGACATCTCTTTCCCTCCGGGTCCCTCCGCTGCCGCCACCCACTCCCGCCCTTCGGGCCGGGGGCGTGACGGACGCGCCCTTAACTCGCTCGGGTCCAGCAGCGGACCTGCAAGGCCGGTTCTTTGGGCGGGGTAGAAGTGCTACCCTTAGGAGCCACCTGAGTGCCGCTGCACTGAGTCTAAGCTGGGAGCCTGCGGCCCGTTGAAGTGGCAGGTTGCACTGCAGAAATGGTTGCAGCTTAGGACTCCTTCTTTCTACGTTGTCTCGGGGGTCGCCGGCGCCCTTTCTGGTTCCTTAGCGCTTGAATCCTGGGGTATTGTGAAACTTTGGTGTTGGGCTGCGGCCACCGTTGCAGTCCTCGCTCACTAGAAGCAGCCAGCCTTAGACAGCATAATGACTTTCTTTTGATCGCATTCTGTGAGATCCCGTTGCTTTTCCAACTCATCCCGAAGCTGAAGAACAAATTGTATTAACTGATACTCTCGAAGGAACCACATCTTTCCCCAGAGTAGACTTATTACTTGTTTTGGTGAATATGACATTTAAGGCATACTTGAATTTCTGTAGGCCTCCGTTATAGCATCCTCCCAAAAAGTTGGAATGGAACGTAAAGAATAAATATTTTTCTCTTGAGATGTTCCTTATTTCCTCATACTGACGCTAGTAACAAAGAAGGAAAATTTTTAAATTATTTTTCGAAGTAGTTTGGAAAGTCCTGTGCCGACTTTTTCTACTCTATTGACAACAGAATCTCAGTTAATTGCTTCAGCCATATAAGTAATAAAATAGGGAGCTTTGTTAACAAAACGTTCAATAGTCAACACTTATCTTTCAAACTCCAAAAAAAGAGGTTTAAAAAAGTGAATTTTTACCTTTTTAATTTTTGGATGAGCTCACACTTGTTTTCCTTTTTTCAGGGCCGACTACTGGAAGTCACAGCCAAAGAAATTCTGTGATTACTGCAAGTGTTGGATAGCAGACAATAGGCCTGTATGAGGATACCACTAACTCTAATAGTATTCATGTGAATAATATTCATGTGAAGTGCTGCTTTTAGATCAAAGTCCATTTCTTTTACATTGCTCTGATTATTCATAACATCAAAAGATTTCTGTTGTCATATTATTCTGCTTATGAAAGCTATAAGCCTTCCTTTTTATCAATTAAATTTGATTATGAAGTCAAATTATTCTGTGGACTTTCAAGAAATGGACATGAGTGGGTAATTTCATCCATGTTTATGAAACATCTATGTTGTAATGGTGGTGCTTATAATGCATACAGAGTGAACGTGGAAAACTCAAAATATAAAAAGATCATTATTGTGCTTTTTCTTGTATATTTCTTGCTCTACATGTAATTAAATATATATGATGCAGAGTTTTAAATTTGAAAGATCATTATTATTCCATCATAAAATATAAAAATTATAACTGTTAAGTGCATTATTATCATCTTATAGTCTAGGAGCAAATTTTGTTTGTTTTGGATATTAGGGATTGAACCCAGAGACACTTATCCTCTGAGCCACATCCCCTGCCCTTTTTATTTTGTATTTTGAGACAGGGTCTGGCTAAGTTGTCTAAGTCCTTCTCTAAGTTGCTGAGGCTGGCTTTGAACTTATCATCCTTCTGCCTGAACCTACTGAGCCACTGGGATTACAGGCATGTGGCACAGTGCCTCAGCTTTGATCCAACTTTTAAGACATAAAAAACACATCACCGATTTTGCCCCCTTTCTGCATATCATAGTATTATGTACCTTCTACATAAAAACCAGAGTATCAAATATACATTCAAATGCTTTTTAATTGACAGAGTTGGACACATAAAAGAATAGTCCAATCTTTAACAATGCTGTATTTCTTTAGTATATATTTACATTGTTTATAAGGTATTAGTATTTTTGGTTGGTTGAGGTTTTTGTTATTGTTTTTCTCTTTCAGTGTATTTGAATACTTTGCCAAAGTTCTTAACTTTTTTTTGAGTTAGACTGTTCTTATAAATAAACGTCATGAATTTTTTAAATCAAATTTCTAAAATTTGATTTCATGCAAATCACAGAAAGTTTTTTCCTTAGAGGCAGTAAAATGAATATTATGAGTTAGCTTGTGTAACTAATTCCTTCCAATACAGTCTGTCTTCATCTTCTTGAATTGCTGACACACACTGATTTAGCCTTTAATTAGAAACAAAGTTAATTTAATTTTAATGGTCTTTCAATATTATTATTTATGTGGTATAATCAACTTTAGGAAACCCAGTATAAGAAATAGAGATGATTATTTACAAAGTCACACTTCAAAGAGGAATTCACAGTATTTTAGAATAACTCAGTGTTAATGCATAAGATTTGATAGACAGAACTTGATTTTGCTGAGTTTACCAGGACTTTCTTCCTGCCTACTACCAGATACTTGTAACTGAGGGCAAATTTTTGGTTGTTTAAATAGATAATAGTGCTTACTCTCTGATCCATGTCCCCAACTGTCATTGCACATAGTTTCACTTTTTTTTTTTTCACTTTCTTACCTATTCTTTTGTTGTTTCCATGTGTATATAGTTATGGGTTCTTATTCAAGTACGCATAAAAGGTAACACTGTAGATGTAGTGTTTTGGACCATATTTTTAAAAATTGACAATATACTCTGGAGGTCTCTCCAGTTAGAGAATTTGTTTTCTATTATAGTAGCCTGTGGGATTGTACCACGATTTAGTTACAGTGCTGCAGTAAATAACCTCATATATAACCTCATTTTGAACTGAGCATCATTGCAACTGTAATTCCAGTAACTCGGGAGGCTAAGGCAGGAGGATTGCTAGTTCTAGGCCAGCCTCAGTAATTTAGAGAAACCCTATCTTAAGATTTAAAAAAAAAAAAAAAGGAAAGAAATAAGTATGTAGCTCAGTGGTAGAGTGCTCCTGGATTCAATTTCCACTACTCCCCCCAAAAAACCAAACCATTTGTACATGTGCAAGCTTATCTATGGAATAAATTCCCAGAAATGGGATTGCTGGGTCAAAAGAGAAATGTATGTATAATTATGACGGATATTGCCAAATTGTCCTTAATGGAAGTTGTACGTTTTACATCATCATATTGTATAAAAATATGTATTTATAATTTTAAATGTCTATTTTTCTTAAAATTTGGAGGATTAATAGTGGCTTTAAGGAACATTGTTCTTTATGTCTCTTATTTAATATAACAAATACAACAATAAAATTCTAGAGGCTTGATGGTTTTGACATTTGATGTTTGAAGGTGTTTCTTTAAAAATTTTTTTTTAACCCTTTTGGCTTCGTGGCCTTTTTGAGTCTTTATTACAATCATATTTACAAGATCAGTCATCACTGGTACCTTGTATTTTTCTCCCATTAATATGATCATTCTGTTTTATTTTAAGAACCAAAGGATTTCTAGGTTCAGTTTCTTAGGGGCTTTTTTTAATCCCAAAAGGGCTAATTTACCTGAAAATTAATGAGTTTTGATCTTTTTTGCCAGTCATTTTAATTTTAATGTTCTTATTTCCATCCTCACACTTACTATAATGCTTTATTGTGAATTTTATACTGTTCACATAATTTACCTTTATATTTTCTCTTTCTTATTTTCCAGAGTGTTGAATTTCATGAAAGGGGAAAAAATCATAAGGAAAATGTGGCAAAGAGGATCAGTGAGGTAATTTGGACTGATTCTCTGCTAATTTTTTTGTGCAAATGTCAGTTCTTTATCTCACTTTCACTTTTGTGTGTATCTTACATAGATTAAACAGAAAAGCCTGGATAAAGCAAAGGAAGAAGAAAAGGCATCAAAGGAGTTTGCTGCAATGGAGGCAGCTGCCCTGAAAGCATACCAAGAGGATTTGAAAAGACTTGGCTTAGAGTCAGGTAAAAAACAGCCTGCATGTTTTAAAGGTAACATCAGAGGTCATGCTGAGAGCTTTTATTGTTTCTGTAAAGAGGTTATGTACCCAGGGTATACTCTCAGTGATTTTATTATGCATCATAGCCCTATTTAGATAGTAGGACTTGGCTTTTGCACTTCTGTTTTACTTTTTTTGCCTCATCTATTAGTGTCCTCCTTCACATCAGCCAATCTACATTTGTGGTTACCTAGTCCTAGCTCTGTTCTAATTGAGTGGTTCATTTCATAGACACCATCAGTTTTTTTTAGGTATTCTCGTTATTCAACTAAAAGCACTATTCATTAAAAAATAAACCTTGGCCTGAGGCTGTAGCTCAGTGGCAGAGCACTTGCTTATCATGCATGAGGCACTGGGTTCGATCCTCAGCACCACATAAAAATAAAAAAATAAAGGCATTAATTCTGTCCATCTACAACTCAAAAACATATTTAAAATAAAATAAAAAATAAACCTTGTATTAAAACTACAGTTCATTTTATCCGTAGGATAAAAACTATGAATCATATTTGTTTATATGGTTGAATATATGGTGAAATAGCCTTTTTGGACAAATTAACTGACTTTACTACCAGAGGGCATATTATTTTGAAGCTTTAAATATAGCCAAGTTCCAGGTTAAAAACATTATTTAACTAGAATGTGCCTATCTTGTCATTGCTCTAATTTAGGAAGTTTCTGTGAATATTTCTTCCATGACAAATCCATTGTCCATTAATCCAAGCATATAGTAAATCTCAGTTATTGATCTTGCATAGTGGTTGGGATAGTCAACATTCAGTAGTATCCTTTAATCTCTACTAAAAACAGGTTTCATTTAAGGTTTTGAGCAAAATACCTGTTAATGGGCGTTGCTTTCATTAAAGAAGAATAGTTGTAGTTAGACTTTCAAAGTATTATTGTGAACAATGATAGTTAAGGTGAGGGTGCCATGGTTCCTTAAAGATAAAGCATTTGATAGGAAAAAAGATGTCGGCAGTCCTGGAGAATTAGAGAATAGTAGTTGAAAAATGTAACTCTTTATCAGTTACATGAATTGAGAAATTCCATTATGTTGCCCTTTGACCAAATAAATCAGCATTCTATAAATTAATGGATTTTTGCTTTTTCTTTTTTTTTTTAAAGAGAGGGTGAGAGAGGAGAGAGAGAGAGAATTTTTAATATTTATTTTTTAGTTGGCGGACACAACATCTTTGTTGGTATGTGGTGCTGAGGATCGAACACGGGCCGCATGCATGCCAGGCGAGCAAGCTACCGCTTGAGCCACATCCCCAACCCCTGGATTTTTTCTCTTGAATATTTTTCATAGCCTTGTTTTCCTGAATAGAATATTTATTTCTTTAAAAGTACAACAATGTAGTTTAAAAAAAAAGACAACTTTTAAAAAATTTACTAAATGCTATTAAGATTTCTCTGACATCCTTAGAACTTTTTCTAATTGTACATTTTATGCTATGGTCTGTTTAGAAGTTTTCCTCTCCTCCAATAACAATACATCTTTTAAATACATCTTTTCTTTTAAACATTTACAGTTATAAATCATTTTTAGTGATTACAGAATGGTTAGGAACACAAACTTTAGAATCAAGCAATTGCTTCTCTCTAGTTATATGACCTTGGACTTTTACTAAATTTAAGTAACACTAGTGTACAAATTTCTTATTATAGTAACCATCCATAATAGTGTTTAATAAAAGGTAGCTATCTATACAGTGTATCATAATTTATTTAATTTCTTCATGTTTAACATTTAGATTGCTTACAGTTTTTCACTTTTACAAAGAATGCTATAGTATGGATCATTATGCATGCATTTTTGCACATTTCTTTTTCTTTGAGGGTTCAATTTCTCAAAGTGAGACAATTTCTCAAAATGAAATTGCAATATCAAAGTGTGAGTATATCATATATATTGTAGCTAATATCCAGAAATGTTGGGCTGATTTATACTTTCACTAAAAATAAAACATTTATTAACGGTGTTGGAAATATTGTCCAATCTTTTGGGAAAAAGTAAAGTCATAAAGGAAGAGCATAAGGAAAAGATTAACATTAATCAGAGACGAGTGTGGGGAGAGAAAGGGAGTGAGAAGGGAAATCGTATGGAAATGGTAGGAGACCTTCAATGTTACACAAAATTACATATGAGAGGTTGTGAGGGGAAAGGGGGGGGGGACAAGGGAGAGAATTGAACAACAGCGGATGAGGTAGAGAGGGAAGATGGGAGGGGAGGGGAGGGGGGATAGTAGGGGATAGGAAAGGTAGCAGAGTACAACAGTCACTAATATGCTATTATGTAAAAATGTGAATGTGTAACCGATGTGATTCTGCAATTTGTATTTGGGGTAAAAATGGGAGTTCATAACCTGCTTGAGTCAAATGTATGAAAGATGATATGTCATGAGCTTTGTAATGTTTTGAACAACCAATAAAAAAAAAAAGCTACATATTTTTTCACATCTGTGTAAGTACCTGATAGATCAGACTAGTACTGGATTTGATCATTCTTTACAGTACTTACTGATCTCCTACAAAAATTAATTATATTTATTTGCATTTCTTTGAGTATTAGTGAAGGTAAATGTTATTCTCTGAGTTGCTTTTGTGCATTCTTGTTAGAATGTTTGATTTGTAAGGAATCTTTGTTAGGCATTAATTTATTTTATTTTTTTAAGAATGATGTGATTCTTTTATACCTTTATTTTATTTATTTATTTTTATGTGGTGCTGAGGATCGAACCCAGCGCCTTGCACCACTGAGCTACAACCCAGCCCATGCATTAATTCTTATATTCGTTGTATTTTTTCATTTGTCTTTCATGAAAAAAACATATATTTGATTTTTTGTTTTTATATTTTCCATACATAATGTCTTAATGTTTATGTGGTTGGATTTAACATTATTTTACTTTATCTGTATGTGGTTTTGTTTTGTTTTATTTTGGGTACTGGGGATTGAACCAGAGACACTTTACCACTAAGCCACATCCCCAGCCCTTTTCATTTTTTACTTTGAAATAGATTTTCACTAAATTGCTTAAGGACTCACTATGTTGCTGAGGCTGGCCTTGAACTTGTGATCCTCTGGCCCTAGCCTCCAGACTCACTGGGATTATAGACATGCACCACCATCCTCAGCATGTGTGTTTTTTACTTCATGTTCTTTTAGTAAAGTATTTTTGGTCTGATATTTATTTTCATGTAAAAGAGTGGAGAATAGCTTTTACTTTATTTTATATTGTTGTTGTTTAAAAATTAACCAGTTATTCTAACATCTTGTATTATATGATCTTTTTCCTTCTAATAAAATATATCAGGAATTTGGAGTTAGCTCTATATCTGAACCATTCTGTTTCAATCATATCTTTGCCTGTTTCTGTATCATTTGACACTGCTGGATCCTCTTAACATTTCACCCCAGTGCTGGGGATCAAACCCAGGACCTTAAATATGCGCCAGGCACTTAAGACTGAGCTGCATTCCCAGTCTTGGATCTTTTTTTAACCATAGTTTTAGAATAAGTTTTAATATAAGGTTGTATTAAATTCCCCTTACCAATTTTTTTTTTATTTTTCAGTGTGTTCTTACATGAGTATTTTTCCAAATCTTGTCAAACTTTTGATTAAAATAACATTATTAATATTTTGTGAAAGAAAAAAAAGGTGAGGTTACTTGACAACTTTGCCTTTCTCTCATCTTTTTTTTTTTTTTTTTAGAAATTTCAGAGCCAACCATATCACCAGTAACCCCCACTATTCCACCCACCTCTGCATCAAATCAACAGAAAGAAAAGAAGAAGAAAAAAAAAGATCCTTCAAAGGGTAGATGGGTAGAAGGCATAACCTCTGAGGGTTATCATTACTATTATGATCTCATCACAGGAGGTAAGTCATTTAAGCATAGAACTAGTAGAAAATAGTTCCATTGGAACAAATAGTTTATTTTGTGTTAGGATTTTTATTTAATATTGGAACATTTTAAACAGGGAAAGACTATAACTTATTTTAGCCAAAAGGTTTAAAAAATTATGTGCTCTTTAAAAAATTACCTTTCTCATTGTGACTCAATGTCATACTTAAGGTTTTAATAGCTTTATATTTTCTCAGTAAAATTTTCTGAAAATATGAACTACACAGAAATAAGACTTTTTAATTCATTTTACAAATTGTAAGGTCCTTGAAAGGAAATGTTAAGATTTTCTTGCCAAAAGCAGTCTGGGAGCCAGAAACTGGTTTCTTTTTTTGTGTACTAGTCTTGATTGATGTAATAAACTCCCCCATTCATATTAATGTCAGATAGCAATTTCAAATGAAATACATAATGGTGTTTTTCAGTAGGAATATCAAAAACATCTTTTTATTTTCTTTAAAAACTAAATATATTTGGGATTTTTCCTTCATATAAATTCTAGGAAAAATAACTTTATTTTATTATCCAGAAAGAAAATTTAGTGACAGAAATAAATTTTGATTCCAGGAGGAACTTTCAAGTGTAATAGTAAAGATTTTATGGTATCTCAAAATAATGACTAATTAATTGTGATTATATGGATGTGAGAGATTATCACAGGAATTACTTTTGAGCTAATCTTGGGACATCAAGAATGGTGTCTTGCCATTTGTATCCCTACCACTTAACACAGTGCTTGCCTGGCGAAGTGCAAATACTCCATAAGTATTTTGAATGAATCCAAAGATTTCAATAGATTAAGAGGGTACACAGCATTTCAACAAATGGAACAATATAAACTTAAAAGTTTTAAGGCATAGAGAGTCTTTTGGCAGAGGTGAAACATTCATGTGGCAATTTTCAGTGGCTAATTGATAATTAGAATCTGAGTTAGCTAAATTGAGTTTGGGGTTGTAGATAACATATTTACCTTTAGGAGTATATGAAATTACAAACAATGGAACAAAAAGTAAAAAAGGATGATTAGTATATATATTGAAGGAATGGATTGAAGAAAAGCCAGCAAAAAAGTTCAGAATGATCAGGAAGGTTTGGAAATGAGATCAGAAAGTTAATAATGAAAAAAAATTTGAAGTGACGATGTTGTCATAATTATGATTAGAATCATAATCAGTTTGGGACTACATAGAAATGGTGATAACAGTTTTTATAATAGGTAATAATTTATACTGAGGCTTAAGTGAAATAAATAGTGTACAGCAATAAAGATTTCCCTAAATAATTAAATTCTAGAGATGAGTAGTCTTTCTCAGATTTACTTAAAAACATGTTATTCATTCTTTTCTCCCTTCTAGGGCATCATTTCTTCGCCTTTCTACTTTATATACTTTTGCCCTCAGTAATATTTGTCTTTAATTCTTTACTTCATCTTTTCCTCTTTCAAGTCACTGTTCATTCCATCGTCTCCCTTGCCCTAAGATAACAAAAAGCTATTCGCTTTCTAACCCAATCCTAAATTCCATGAAATCTTTGAAAGAAGCCTTATGTAGTTCTAATACATCCTGTGCAAGTTCCATGGGAATTAATGTTAGAGAGCCATCTCGTGAAGATAAAACATTCTAGTAACTTCTGATCTAGTAAATTCTGATCCTTTGATTTGTCGTTTCTTCTTGGTTACATAACACGTATATTCTTTTGCATAATGTTGCTGGCATGTATGGGGCTTTTTTTTACATTTCAATTATGTTTTAAACTGTATTTCTATAGTGTTTTATACACGATGACTAGTTTGTAAATTTTTGCCAAATTAAATTATTTGGAGTTTTTTTTTTTTAAGCAAAAAGATTTTATAAATGCAATATATTTTGCTTTAAGCATCTCAGTGGGAGAAACCTGAAGGATTTCAAGGAAACTTAAAAAAGGTAATGGAAGCACATTCATAGTGTTTTTGCTTATTCTTTAAAGTGATTGACTTCTGGGGCTTTTACAGAGTTTTATTAAGCAAATTTTACTTCCAAATAAGCCTGCTACCCCAATCCCCACCTCCAACTTTGTTCCTTTCTTCCTGTAATCCTTTATGTTAGAAGGCTGGGTGGAAATGAAACTGTTGTCTATTCAGAAACCCCATGCAGGGTGAATATTAATAGTTGTTTGCAGTTGGTTATCATTCACATGTCCTTGTCCATCTGAGAGGAATTCCTGGCCATCAGGGGTATCACTATACCTAACTTCCAGGTGTCGGGTAAAAAGGGAAAAGTGGCTAAATCTACCTTAATAATGCAATATATAACTATTATCATCATTATCTTCAATTTATTCTGTTTTTTTCTCCCCATCCTGTTAGACAGCAGTGAAGGCCATTTGGGTAGAAGGTTTAAGTGAAGATGGTTATAGCTATTATTATAATACAGAAACAGGAGGTAAGAATTATCTTTGATTTTTTTTAATTGTTTTTTAATTCTTAATGGGACTTTATTTTATTCATTTATTTGTATGTGGTGCTGAGAATTGAACCCAGTGCTTCACACATGCAAAGCAAGGACTCTACTACTGAAGTAGAACCCCAGCCCTCTTTCATTTTCTTAACTGTCTAAACTGTACCTAAAACTGCTTGTTAGTCTGCTAAAGTTCATCTGAACTTGGGATTTTAGTATGTAATAAACATTTCCATAGAAAGCCTGTATTGTTTTTCGTAATTTAAAAACATTAGTACAGCTGGGTGCAGTGATACATGTATGTAATATCCCAGCGGCTCTGGAGGCTGAAGCAGGAGGATAAAAGCCTCAATAAATTAGCAAGACTCTTGGCAACTCAGTGAGACCCTGTCTCTATAAATAAAATATAAAAAAGGACTGAGAATGTGGCTCAGTGGTTGAGTGCCCTGGGTTCAATCCTCAGTACCAAAAAATAACAATAATAATAATAACATTAGTACAGTAGAAAAGCAAAAAGATTTCTACTTGTAATATATTGTTCAGTGTATTAATGTTATTCTCAATTGATACGTCATTTGCAAATTTAATAATTTTTACTCTAAAATTACTGGGTTTTGTTATGATTTTAGAAATATGATCATTTCTATGGAAAGTATCTTAGAGATCGCCAATGTTCAATTTTCTTTTCTTTGTTTTTGTTTTTGTATGTGTGTGGGCATTAGAGATTATACCCAGGATTTTATGTTTCTTCTACCATAGTGCTGTAGTGCACACCTGCACACCTCCCCCCAGCACTTGAACTTTCTTTTTCCTTTTTTAAAAAATAAAACAAGTTATTTTAGCAGTGGCTAAAATTGTCACATTTTCACTTTGTCTAATGTTTCAGTTGTATAAATATTTATAAAACATGCATAATTACTGTCATCTAAATTTTTCAAATTTATTTCATAAAACTTCAAGTAATTAATTACATTTGGGCCTACTACAGTTAAACTTATCAGTTTGGCTATAGATTGATGTAACTTTGGAGGGGTTTTTCATTTTTTAATTTCTACTATTCAAAGACTTCTATATAGCATTAAATCTTTTAGTAAAAAATAGCCCTTTTAACCCTTAAACAGATAGCAAGCAAGCCTGCCCAGTTATAGCAGTGTTTCTATCCAAGTAAAGTACTAACTTTTTATAGAGATAAAACAAAGAGTGATATAATAGGCTTTAGAATTAGACAGATCTAAGCTCAGAGCACAACTTCTTCCTTTACCAGTGATGTGTTAGTGAACCTGTCGTTGAGCCTATAGTCACTCTTCAGTAAAAATAGATGGTCATAGTATATACTCCATGGAGTCATTAAGATTAGATACCTGTAAAGTTCCCAAAACAGTGCCTGGAACATAGGAAGTGCTTAGTAAATTATTTCTTGATAGTTCTTTTTGTTATTTGTATGAAATACAGATAAAGGAAAGTATTTACGAGGCTATTCATACTGATTTGCCCTAAATGATTTCAGCTTATACTTGGAGCATTGATTGTTAATAGCAGGCCTTTCAGCTTTAAAACTACCTCAGTTGGACAGTGAATTGAATAATCACTTATTAAACTAAAAATAGAGAATATTTTCAAGACAATGAGAAATGTTTTCATTTTACTAAAAGCCTAGTGAACCACTAGATGGCAGTGGAGCTGAATCGATTGAAGTCCCCCTCCCACTATCAAAGTGACAGATTACATCCAATCATATCTTCATAATCATGTCAGAATGATTTTAGGACTGAGGCTATAGCTCAGTGTCAGAGCGCTTGCCTAGCATGTGTGAGGCACTGTGTTCAATCCTTGGCATCACATAAAAATGAAATAAAATAAAGGCATGATGTCCATCTATAACTACAAAAAAAAAATTTTAATGATTTTTTTTGTGTGTGAAAATTCCAGGAAATCTTTATGATAAGTAAATTTCAGGGAATCTCACATATGATCCTTATTAGTATGTTTCCTGAAATTGTTATTGGATAAATTGTGAGTCCATAAAAGGATCACTCACTTTTTTTTTTAATCTTTTATTGATTTTATTTTTTTAAATACACAACAGCAGTGGAATGCATTACAATTCTTATTACGTATATAGAACACAATTTTTCATATCTCTGTATATAAAGTATGTTCATGCCAATTTATGCCTTTATACATGTATTTTAGTGTTTTTTTGCATTACAATTCTTAATACACATATATACCACAATTTTTCATATCTCTGTTTGTATATAAGGTATGTTGACACCCAATTCAAGTCTTCATACATGTACTTTGTATAAGGATGTCCATCACATTCCCCCATCCTTGCTAATCCCCTACCCCCTTTCTTTCCCTCCCACCCCTCTTCCCTATCTAGAATTCATCTAATCCTCCAATGCTATCCCTCCGTACCCCACTATGAGTCAACCTCCTTATATCAGAGAAAACATTCAGCATTTGTTTTTTTGGGATTAGCTAAATTCATTTAGCATTATCTTCTCCAAAGCCATCCGTTTACCTGCAAATGCCATGATTTGGAGATTACCCACTTTTTAAGCCTCTCTTTGCTTTGGAATTGTAGATGTAATTTACATCTAGTAAATACCAAGTTGTTTGAAATTTGTTTGTGAAAGATACAAAAGCAAGATGTTTGGAAACTATTTTAAAACTTCATAATCAAATAGTAATGTGAATTAGATGTGAGGTTGTCATTTAATAATTGTAAATAATAGAAATTATTTTAATGGAATTACTTCCAAGTAGAATTGGTTACTAAATAACACTAGTACTAAAATGTGTTGAGCAGAATCCAAATGGGAAAAACCTGATGATTTCATTCCACATACTGGAGATATGCTTTCTAGTAAAATTGATGAAAAGTCACTTGGCACCATAGAAGACTCCAAATCATCAGATTCACACAGTGATTCTGATGGGGAAAAGGAAGCAGAAGAAAAGGTTTCCACAGAAAAAAAAAAGCTAATAATAAAGTTTAAGGTAGGTTCTTGATTTAATCTTCACAGAATTTTATCAGTTTATAAGAAAGTTCCACAGTCTTTTTTTCAGTCTTTGGATATAAGATAGAAATAGAGCTAAGATAGCTGGGGATGTGGCTCAAGCGGTAGCGCGCTCGCCTGACATGCGTGTGGCCAGGATTCGATCCTCAGCACCACATACAAACAAAGATGTTGTGTCTGTCGAAAACTGGAAAAAAAAAAATGTAGAAATAGAGCTAAGATATATTGGTAGTTCTCCCTCCCAATCCTTGATTTTGCTTTATGTGGTTTCATTTACCCATAGTCGACCAAGGTCTGAAAATAGTAAATGTAACATTCCAGAAATAACAATACATCAGTTTTAAATTGTATGACATTCTGAGTGACGTGATGAAATTTCCTTCATTATAGTATGCTATTGTCAGACACAATATCTTTATTTTAATGTGATGCTGAGGATCGAACCCAAGGCCTTGCACACACTAGGCGAGCGCTCCACCACCAAGCCACAATCCCAGCCCCTACTGTATTGTTTTTAACTCTTACTATGCCTAATTTATTAATTAAACTTTATCATAGGAATGTATGTATAGGGAAAAACACAGACTATAGGGTTAAGCACTATCCATGTTTTTAGGTATCTACTGGGGATTTTAGAATATATCCCCAAAAATAAGGTGAGGCTACTGTATTTTGGTAACTGGATAAATGTCTATACTATTTAGTAATACCTATTGGAGAACAAAATTCTTAAGTTTATTTGAGACCTTCTAAGTTTAATAAGCCTCTGTAACATTCAGAGAGCTGTCAAAATAGCCTAGTCTGTATGTCTGGATTAGAAATACTATTTGAATATTATTAGCATATTGGTAATACTGTAAATCTCAGAGTAGATGAATAACTAATTTAGTCACTAGGTGACTAAAGCACAGTGAAGGCCAATATCATTGGTTTTGAGACTCATAAAACAGGTCAGAATATTTTAAAGTTTTCTTGGTTAATAAAAGGAGTTAGATAGAATAGAGAGAGATTAGTGCCGTTTGCCAGCATCATCAGTGAATATAGTCACCTGAAGTCATTTGATCATGTAAAGAATAATGGAGAGAATAGTATAGAAAGTGGTGGGTGTGATCCTCAGAGGAGATCTTTATTGTGTAAGAATCAAAGTATAAAGTATCATGTCCTCCTTTTTCGAATACTAGAAATGAAATCCAGGGTGCTTTACCACTGAGCTACATTCCCAACACCTTTTTATTTACTTTTTAAATTTTAAGACGGGGTCTTACTAAGTTGCCCAGGCTGGCCTCATAGTTGGTATCCTTCAGCCTCAGACTCTCAAGTTGCTGGTAGTACAGGCATGCGCCACACACCAGCTATCATGACCTTTTATGCCTCAGTAAAAATTATTTATTAAGAGAGTCATGGTAGAAATAAATAAATAAAGATATTGTGTCCATTTACAACTAAAAAAAAGAAAGAGTCATGGCCTGCAAGCAGTCAGAATTGCTCAGAAAAGTGGACACTGCATCCTAGTCCTATAATACCAACTTTATGAAGAGATGAGTTGACATCCTTTCAAAGAATTGCAAAGGAAACAGTGTCCCAGGCCAGTAACTCATAGCTGTAGAGTTTGCAAAGAGGATTAAATCAGTACATGATCCACTTGCTAAACTAAGTTATAGAGGTGTGTTATCCCGATGAAGGGATGCCATAAAGTACCATCCCTATCCAGGGGCATCTCTGGGAATTGCTTCTACCCCAATGAGGTATCTTTCTAATTCATACATAGTTGCTAGTTATACAGGCCAGTGAGGCTCTGGCAGTATCCTCAGAGTGAAGATGATTTTCAATTAAATCTTAACAAGTTGAAGGAGTTCTCTAAATAGACATAGCTATAGAAGAGTCTGATTACATAGCATCAAATTCAAAAGGAGAACAATATAAAGGGAGATCACTGTTGGATATGTAAGCTAGGTAAGAAAGCAGAAAAGAGAGACCTAATATGTTAGACATAATGAAAAACCTTCTTGAATGTTATGGTTTAGATCTGGAATGTCCCCCAAGAGCTGCTGTGCTGGGCAGTGCAGCAGTGTTCAGAGGTGAAATGAATGGACCATGAGGGCTCTAACCTTATCAGTGGATTAATCCACTTAATGGATTATTAGTTTGAATGAGAATGAGCCTAAACTGGAACTGGTCTAGGTATCTGTCAGTGTATCAATGGATAAAAAAAATGTGGGGCATGTGTGTGTGTCTGTGTGTGTATGTGTCTGTGTGTGTGTGTGTGTGTGTCTAGTGGAGTTTTATTCAGCCAAAAAAAGAATGAAGTTATGTTATTTGCAGGAAAATGGATGGAACATATTAAGCAAAACAAGGCAAACTCAGGAAGTCAAAGATTATCTGTTTTCTCTCATGTGGAAGCTGGAGAGGAAAAGAGGGGGCAGGGATTTCATGAAAATTAAAGGAAGATCAGTAGAGTAGAGGGAAGGAACCATGGGGAGGGAGAAGCAGAGGAAAAGGGGAAGTACAAGGGAATGATAGTAGCCAAATTATATTGTAATACTGTGTGTATGTATGAATATATAAAAACAAATCTCACCATTATACAGAATTATAATGCACCAATAAAAAACATTAAAAAATAAAAATAGAAAAATAATATAATTTGAATACACTTACTGAGAGGTGGTGAAAACTATACACAGGTGGGATGTGACTGGAGGAAGTAGGTCACAAGGGGCATAGCCATGGGGACTGTATCTGTCCTTGGCACTTTTCTCTGTGTCTCTGTTTCCCAACTGGTATGAGCTGAGCAGATTTCCTCCACCATGCCCTCCTGTCATGTTATTTCTGCCTTGGAGCCAGCCAACCATGGACTGACCCTCTGAAACCATAAGCCATCTTTCCTTCTCTAAGTTCCTTTTTTTTAAACCAGGGATAGAATCCAGAGGCATTTAACCACTGACCCACATCCCCAGCCCTTTTTTATATTTTACTTAGAGACAGGGTCTCACTGAGTTGCTTAGAGCCTCACTAAATTACTGTGGCTGGCTTTGGACTTGCAATCCTCCTGCCTCAGCCTCCCGAATCTCTGGGATTACAGGCATTCACCACCATGTCCAGCCCTTCTCTAAGTTCTTGTCATGTATTTTGGTCACAGTAATGAAAAATAATACATCAGGTATTAAAGTTCTTCCATGTATTATGTACAAATTAAATTATTAAGTGAGATCTAATATATTATTAAGGGTAAATCTGTAAGATGACTTTTAAAAGAAGTTAACTTTTGATTTGTGATAACAGTTTTACTTGAAGTGTTGTTTCTTGACTGTTACATTTCAGGAAAAAAATAAAAAGAGTAATGAAGGAACTGACCCAGAAATGCAGAAGGAAAAAAGTATCCCAAAACAGAATTCATCAGGTCCAAATGAAGAAAAACCCAAAACTCTTAAAAAGCCAAATCCATATGGGGAATGGAAAGAAATTAAACAAGAAGTCAAATCTCAGTAAGTACTTAAAACCTTAATCCCACTGTTATTACAAGTATTGCATATTCCAGTACAATATACATGTATTGCAACCATTAATTTCAAGGGTACTATTCTTATTAAAAGTGTAGCCCAGGAACTGGGGGTGTAGCTCAATGGTAGAGCACTTGCCTTGCATGCATAAGACCCTGAGTTCAATCCCTGGCACCCAAAAAAAAAACCCTAAAAAGTATAGAGTAGCTCATTTCTTTATTTCTAGAGTGGTTTTTATTTTAAAATGTAAGGTACTGGTTACTTTTAAAAGGAAGGTAAGGATTGTTTTAATTCTTACCAAAACATGCATGACATTTCTGTTGACCAACTCACACATGTACATGTGCATATTCTCACATTCACCATCATTTTTTTTGAGGAATAAATATGTTCATATTCAATAAATGCTTTGCAAGATGCTTTACATATATCATAGGATATATCTAAAGGCAAGAAAAAAGTTTTTGCTTTGTTATTCTCTTGAAAGTAGCTTACTACACTTCAGAATTATAAAGCAGATATTCGATAAACAGACCAGTTCATTATCAGTTAAACAAAATCATAGTAAAGTTTTACATTATTAGTTTATTTGTTCACATAAGTTATTTTCTTAGGAATATTTATACCATGAAAGAAAGATGTCACTACCAATTTCACATTTAGTCTTTCTGCAATGCTTAAAGGAAACTTCAGGTTTAAAAAAAACAAAAAGTATCTTCATGCATAAAGGAGTATTCTTCAAAGCCTCAGTGCTTTCAGATGATAATGTAAGATGGTTTCTTTATGTACACTTTTACAGCAAAATGATTGTTAAAGTTGTTGTTTTTTTTTAAAGAGAGAGAGAGAGAATTTTTTAATATTTTTTAGTTTTCGGCGGACACAACATCTTTCTTTGTATGTAGTGCTGAGGATCGAACCTGGGCCGCACGCACGCCAGGCGAGCGCACTACCGCTTGAGCCACATCCCCAGCCCTTAAAGTTATATTTTAATGAAAAGATGTTTTTCATAAGATAGTTATATGAGTATTGGACAGTTCTATATACTCATCTTAGAATTGATTCCTTAAGTATGGTATAATGTAATACAGCTTAGGACTGCTGTGAAAATGTTATTATGAAATTGTTCAAGTTGTATTTATAGTACTTTTTTTTTCCTCCCTGTACAGGAGGATTAAAACCAGGTACACTCTACCATTGAGCTACATTCCCAGCCCTTTTTATTTTGAGATAGTGACTTGCTAAGTTGCCCAGACCTGTCTCAAACTTGTGATACTCCTGCCTCAACCTCTCAAATTGTATTATTAAATGAAATATTAGGAAATATGTGCTGAATGCTACATAGTTTCAGTTACCATGATAAACATAATGATTCTCTATATATTAAAGTTACAGAAATAATAGACTGCTCCATTACTTCAGCTCTTATTTGACTTAAAATAGAAGATGGTCCTACATCGGTACTTCCAAGTTGAGATTTTTTTTTGTTTTACTTGTGATGAATATATGCTGAAATCATTCTTATTAAATCTTAGCCTAGTCAGATAGTTTAATATATAATGGATTATGGCCAACTTCATAAATAGGTCAACCTAGTATTAAAGGGGGTTCCTACCCCAAATTAAAGCATGCATATTTACAGTAGTTTTTTTTGTTATTGTTTTTTGGTATTAGGGATTTAATCCAGGGGTGCTTTACCACTAAGCCGCATTCGTAGCCCTATTTTTTATTTTGAGACAGGTTCTCACCAAGTTGCCCAGGATCTCGGTAAGTTACTAAGGCTGACCTTGAACTTGTGATCCTCCTGCCTCAGTCTCCCAAGTCACTGGGATTACAGGAATTCACACCACATCCAGCTGAATGTTGTAGGAAATTTTGAAAATTAAGTATATAAAAATAATTTATTATTCAGTTACCCAGAAATAATACTAACATTTTTAAGTATTTTTCTCAGTATGTTTTCTCATTTTACATTATTAATATTTTCCTGTTATATTAAAGTTTTATAAACACGATTTCAACCTTGATTTTACTCAGCCATTCTTTTTGTTGGCATTTATTTATCCTTTCTTTTTTTGTACCAGGGATTGAACCCAGAGGCACTTAACTATTGAGCCACATCCCCAGCTCTCTTTATTTTTTATTTTGAGACAGGGTCTTGCTAAGTTGCTTAAGACCTCAGTAAGTTGCTGAGGCTGGCTTTCAACTTGTGATCTTCCTGCCTTGGCCTCCTGAGCTGCTGGAATTACACGCATGCAACACCATGCCTGGCCCATTTTTTATTTTTATAATGAACTCATTATTATATGGATATCTTTCTCTGTTCACATCTCTGACAACCTAGAAGTGGAATATATGTAACAGTTACATTTTTAAATCTGTGGCACTGCTATTGAACCCAGGGATATTCTACCCCTAACTGCATCTTCACTCTCTTTATTTTTTATTTTGAGACAAGGTCTTCCTAAATTGTCTAGGCTGGCCTCAAATTTTCAGTCCTGCCTCAGCCTCTGGAGTCACTGAAATTATAGGCATGCACTACCACACATGGCTGTGAACATTTTAAAATCTTAATACACAGAGTCCACTTATTTTCCAGAAAAAGTATACTGATACTCCATTAGCAGTTTCTGAAAGTTCCTATCCCACTGGATTTTAAATAATTTCTAATTTGGCAAAACATACCTTATTTTAACTTTTCTTTACTGATAAGGTTGAAAATTTTTTTCATATATTTGTCAGCACATCCCCTCATCAGTTTTGGAGGAGTCGGTATAACATTATGATCTACTGAGATAAATGTTCTTCAAGTTTTATATTATACAGAATGGTTCTTTTTTTTCTGAATTATCATTACAATTTTGAAATTTTATCTTTGTCCTTATATTCTTGTTTGTTTTGCTTTTGCAATCCTAGCAAATTTCCTAACTTATTCTTACATTGTACAACTGTTACAATAGCTCTAGACCTAGACCTGTATTTGTATCCACATTTGTAAGATCTCTAGTCCAGGCAAGGTGGCACATGTCTGTAAATCCCAGCAGCTTGGGAGGCTGAGGCAAGAGGACCATGAGTTCAAAGCCAGTCTCAGCAACTTAGCAAGGCCCTAAGGAACGCAGAGAGAGACCCTGTCTCTAAATAAAATAAAAAAGAAAAAGGGCTGGGAATGTTGCTCAGTGGGTAAGTGCCCCTGGGTTCAATTTTCAGTTAAAAAAAAAAAAAAAACAAACTCTCAATACTTGTTTTCATAGCTCTTTCTGCATAATCTAAATGTGGAAGAAGAAAATTTGTTATCCTGTCTTTTTGTTTAAGATCATTGAACTGAATAGCATTTGTTAAAATTTTTAAGTCTTATCAAACAACCTAAAAAAATCACATTACCTCTAAACTGCAATGATCAGAATTGATGAGGGCTCACAATTTTCGTTTTATAGTTTTTGTTGTAGAAGTATATATAATGTACTCCAGTTTTCTTTTCATTTGCAAATGACAGAATTTTACATATGTCTGGAAGAAGTTTCAAGTGTAGCTGGGGATAGGGGCTTGAATAAAATGATCAGGACACTGTGTCTGTCTCTATTACCGCTCTCCTTTCCTTTGAGTTGACCCCTTTCCAGGCAGGCTCTTCCCACCTGATGGCAAAGCTTCAAGTTTATGTCATACTTAATGTAAAGTATCCCAGCAAAAATAGAATGTTTTTTTATTGGCAGTTCCTGAATTTGTCCTACTTAACTTTTATCATGTACACAGTACCCATTCCTGAGCTAACCACTGAGTCGACATGAACTGAACTCAGAATTCATAGACTTAGAAAGACGGAAAAGTAGTTCCCCAAAATACAAGTAACAATAATAATAAAGAGAGTTGTAGTACTAGAAAAATGGGAATGAGGCATTAGAAGAGTCAAAATAAATGTTTCTACTCCAAGTGCTTAGTGTAGTATGTGGCACATAGTAGACATTCAGAATATTTTAGCTTTCCCTGTGTTCTAATTTTTAAGTAGTTAAATATTTTTGTTTTCTCCTTCTTTTAATTTTTATTTTTTGGTACCAAGGATTGAACCCAGAGGTGCTTAATCACTGAGCAACATCCCCAGCTTTTTTTTATATTTTATTTAGAGACAGGGTCTAACTGATTTGCTCAGGGCCTCAATAAATTGCTGAGGCTGGCTTTGAACTGGAGATCTTCCTGCCTCAGCCCGCTGAATCACTGGGATTACAGGTGTGTGCCACAGTACCCAGCTCTCATTTTTTTAATAAAATTTGCCAAAGGATTTTTTGTTTATCCTCAGTAAACCAGCTCTTAAATTTAATTATTATACTTTGTTTCTTCATTTCTTGTTTTTATCATTTTCTTGCTCTGACTTTTCTTAGGTTTCCTGTTTTTCTTACTCTCTTTGGATGAACACTTAAAATATTGACAAGAGATGAAAGAGGGTCTGTTCTTGTTTCCTAATGAAAAGTTAAAGCAATTGATTTGTCTCTAAATGTAATTCTGCCCATAAACCCCATAAACTTGGAATGAACAGTCCTTGATGTCATCATTTTTGGAATAGTTTTTAATATAGTGTTTCTGCGTAATTTTTGAATTGGTGGTTTTTCAGGTAGATGGGAAGCCTTTTTGGTTCTTTTTTCCCCCCACTTTTATTGCAGTATGTCTCAATATAACCTTTACAGTTTTTGCATATTGAATTTGGAAATGATTCTGGTTTTGTGGAGGAACTTATATCATTGTTTTTTGTAACTGTTCCAGTAATTCAAAAAGATTCTGTAATGTTCTGTAGTATATTGTACTTGTAGTCAGGACCAATCAACTGATTATTTATAACAAACCATGTGGATGGTTGAAGAACTAGGTTTTTAGAAAAGGGGTCCTAGGCAAACAGCCACGCTGTCTTCTGTGTTAGGATATCAAGATTCCATGATTTTCATCTTCTGTATAATCCTTCAAAGTCCTTTTCAATTATGGCAAAATCAGTTTCCATAAATGCCTCTCCCTTATGTATCTACTGGTACTATATATCTTATATAAGCCAGGGCATTTTCTGTAGTAGAAATAAAAGACTAATAACTGAGACTTTTTGTGGGAAAAAAGTTGATGTTCCACTTGATAAGAATTCAGTCTCTTAAATAAAATTGTAAAGTCTGTATTTTAAAAGTTTACTACTTCAAAATGACCACCTTCTAACTTTTCGCCATTAATCATCATTAGGTGATCTGGGGCCTTTGGTGGCAAACATTTTTCTTATTCTGTCAAATAATGGTTTTATTTTTGCTTTCTGTTTCAGTGAAGAGGTAGATTTGGAACTTCCAAGCCCTGAAAATGAATATGTGTCAACTTCAGAAGGTGATATTGGGGAACCCAAAGTGGTATTTAAAGAAAAAACAGTTACTTCTCTTGGAGTTGCAGCAGATGGTGTGGCCCCAGTTTTCAAAAAGAGAAGAATCGAAAATGGAAAATCTAGAAATTTAAGGCAACGAGGTGATGATCAATAATTGTAAAAGCATTTTATATGTGTGTTTTGGACAGAATGGAGACTTACTCTTCTTAAAGTTTCTCCGTGCTTGTTGTTGTACACTGATGCTAAAATTGACTTATTCTAAATGTATTTTATGTGAATTAAAATAATAAATCTTTTTTTATGTGAAATTTATTTTTGTTCCTAAAATGGAAACCTACCATGTTCAATTGTAATACAGTGTATTATGTTGGGTGTCTAAAAATTGTTAATTATGCCATCATTTAAGATGCTATGTATCTGTTATTTAAAACATGGAAATATAAGATAAGACCTTTATTCTTATTCATATGGACATACTTCTTCTGCATTGAAAATGCACTGTTTTTGCAAACTCATATTAACTGTTACCTAAGAAATAAGAATCAAGCCATATAAGAGAAGATTCAGAGCCCAGTAACAATTCAGTTCCAAGGATCCTTTAGAAGGCTGATGTAAAAAATGTATGTATATTGGCATACCATACTCAATTTAAGGATAAAGGCTCAAACCAGGAGCCTCTTGGGTACTTCAAATATAGAACTTGAAGTAGAGCAAAAACTAGACCAAAAATAAAAATATGTATTTGCCCCCAGTTCAGTTCAAGGCAACAAATATTACTTAAGCATTTTAACTTTGAGCTCCAGGCATCATTCCAAGAACTTGGGATATAAAATAGATAAAAGAAATACATCCCAATTCTAAGGTAGTTCACATTCTAGAATAGTTTTTTTTTTTCCCCAGTCATGCCATCTAGCAACCTTATAAATGTACTGGAAAATATTTTTTAAGGTTTATTTAAAGCTGTGCAGAGCCAGATATGGTGGTGCACGCTTTTAATCCCAGTGGCTTAGGAGGCTGAGGCAGGAGAATCACAAGTTCAAAGTCAGCCTCAGCAACTTAGCGAGGCCTTAAGTAACTCAGAGAGACCCTGTCTAAAAATAAAATATAAAAAAGGGCTGGGATGTGGCTCAGTGGTTGAGTGCCCCTGGATTTACTCCCCAGTACCAAAAAATTTTTAAAAAGTGTGTAGATAAAGATTTGAACTAAAATAGTAAGGTCTCTGACTTAAGTAATAAAAGTTTTTAGCGTTCACTTAGACATACCACAAATTCCCCATTTTCTGGTTAAATTTCTTAATTTAACCTATTTGAAGTCGGTACCTCTCTTTAGTGCTTCTAATTCTTTAAATTTTATTTTTCATAAATTGTACAGTATTAACTTTTGTTAGCAAATATTTTTTTTTTTACAATTACTAGTATACATGTAAGGAAACAATAGTTTATTAAAAACTTCTTGAAAGTAATTTAAATACTGGGGTTTTTTTTTCTTCTAATATTAAGAGTCAAATTAGCATTGGTGAGATAGTATTTGGAGATTCGTCTTTACGTTTGTTCCTTCTGCTTATTTGGATACTTTGTGAATGGAAAAGCCTAAACTTGCCCCTTTGTTATGAAGAAGTATTTTATTTTATTTTTTTAAAGAGAGAGTGAGAGAGGAGAGAGAGAGAGAGAGAGAGAATTTTTAATATTTATTTTATTTAGTTCTCCGCGGACACAACATCTTTGTTGGTATGTGGTGCTGAGGATCGAACCGGGCTGCACGCATGCCAGGCGAGCGCGCTACCGTTTGAGCCACATCCCCAGCCCCCATTTTATTTTTTTTAAAGAGAGAGAGAGAGAGAGAGAATTTTTTTAATATTTATTTTTTAGTTCTCGGCGGACACAACATCTTTGTTGGTATGTGGTGCTGAGGATCAAACCCGCGCCGCACGCATGCCAGGCGAGCGCGCTACCGCTTGAGCCACATCCCCAGCCCCTGAAGAAGTATTTTATAGTTCACTTGTCAGGTAGCTAAGCAGTACATTTTGATCCTTTACTTTTCTCAAATCTCAACTGGAAAAGATAAATACAAGTGGAATGCTCCTATACTTACATTTAGCTCCTACAAAATACAGTATTAAAGACTTTTTTTAAACCATATCTAATTATGTGAAGTATTTCTCTTTAAAAGGTTTTTTGTTTGTTGAGAAAGGGCCTCACTAAGTGCATTAGGACTTCAATAACTTATTGAGTCTGGCCTTGAATTTACTATTCTTCTGTCTCAGCCTGTAAATTGCTGGGACACAGCCATGTGCCACTGTACTGGACTTTTTTTTTTTTTTTAATACGTTCTTATGTTTCCCTGAATGACCTTGAACTCCTCCTTACAGAGATACACATGTCCTCCTACTAAACTGTACCTTCAGCTCTCTTAGATGCACTTTTTTTTTTTTTTTTCAGTATGGGCGAATCAAACCCAGGGCCTTGCACATGCCAGACAAGTACTATACTCTGAGCTACCTTCCCAGTGCTGTAGATGAGTTTTTTTTTTAAGAAAGCTAACTCCTTTACCTTCAAAATTAGATACTGTTCTCATAATAATATCTCTAGGTAAATCTTGTACTAAATCAGATTTTAAAGATTACTCAGAAAATATGTTTTGGTGTTTGATACCAATATATTTTATATATTATAATATACATTATAAATGTAAATATCCAAATAATAGGGGTCTTTTATTCCAGTAATCTCTGACCCCTCCCCCATGATCAGGGTTTTTTTCCTCACCATGTTAACACTGGATGTATATGGATAACCTTTCTGACACTGGGATTCTTGAGGTAATCTGGTAAAATCGCATTCAAAGAAGCATGGTCACCGAGTGTGGTGGTACACACCTATAATCCCAGTGATTTTGGAGACTGAGACAGGAGGATCGCAAGTTCAAAGCCAGCCAGCCTCAGCAACTTATCAAGGTTTTGTCTCTCATTATTATCAATTCTGAGAACTGTACTAAGAAACAAACCTATCAGATTTTTATGTTAAGTAGCTATAATTAAAATAATATGATTGCTCATATATAGGCACAACATATATATAAACTAGAGTTTCTGGGTGTCTGTTACTATGCCAGTACCATACTGATTTAATGTGTTTTTATAATGTTTTTAACTTCTGGTAGAGCAAATATCCTCAAACAACCTTTCTTTTTCAAAATATTCATGGTTCATATTCATTTGTTATTTCAAATAATATTTTGTCAAGTTGTCTCCTCTGCTCTTCCCAAAGTGTTGTGATTTTATACTCCACCTATTGAGTTGGCAATAATTACCATCTTTCTAACATTCATTCATCTCATAAATATGTGTTTTGTCATTTAGTTCTTTTTGGAGGGTGGGGAGGGGAATACCAGGGATTGAACTCAGGGGCACTTGACCACTGAGCCACATCCCCTGTCCTTTTTTTGTATTTGTCTGGCTTTGAACTCTCGATCCTCTTGCTTCATCCTTCTGAGCTGCTGGGATTACAGGTGTGCACCATCATGGTCCCATACCTGGCCATTTAGTTTCTTTTCGTCTTTAAAGTTTTGTAGGGGCAGGAGAGCATGCCCAAGGCAATCCCACCACCAAAAAAAAAAAAAAAAAAAGTCTTAAGTATTACAGTTTTCTTCATAAAGACCCTGCACATTTCTGGAAATGGAAGCTCCTTGAGGGCAAGTGCTTTGTTTTGTTCCAGAATATAGACCAGAATCTGGCATATCATAACATTTATTGTATAGATGTCATTTTCACCTGTCAAATACAAGATCAAATAATTGGATAATATTGGTGAAGATGTGAAAAATTGATAGTCCTATATACTGCTAGTGAAAGGATATGTATTAATCTTTTTTTTCTGTGTTTTATAGTGTTTTGACATCTTAAAAAGCTTGCTAACAAAGTTGAAACTGTCCTTCCAGCATAAGCCCTTTCTTTTTTTTTTTTATTTTTTAGTTATACATGGACACAATATCTTTATTCTGTTTATTATTATGTGGTGCTGAGGATGGAACCCAGGTCTCACATGTGCAAGGCGAGCGCTCTACCGCTGAGCCACAACCCCAGCCCTATAAGGCCTTTCTTAAAGATGGTGAAGATACCACTGGTGGATTCTCTCATATACAGAGCAAGCAGTTCTTAGTTTGTTGTAGTTGTAGTTTCACCCACCTCCTCATCTAACACAAACAAGCTGATATGGGGGTGGTTCCAAGACCCCTAGGGACACCAATATCCTCAGATTTTCAAATCCCTTACATAAAAAGGCATAGTGTGTACACATAACCTACACATGTCCTCAGCATACTTTAGATTCCTTAAAATACCTAATGTAAGACCAAAAAAAAACCCCACAGTTTCAGTATTGTTCAACCCCAGGACTGCAAAAGCCCCAGCATACTATTTATGGATGCCTAAGAAAGAACTTGGATTGGAGAATTCAACAGAGAAGGTTTGGACATTTTTCTTTTTTTAACTTTCTCTCTCTCTCTCTCTCTCTCTCTCTCTCTCTCTCTCTCTCTCTCTCTCTCTCTCTCGGAGGAAAAGTTTATCACTGTTTCAGAGGTCTCAGTCCACAGATGGTCAACTCCACTCCTCAGAGTAAGCCAGGACATCGTGGAGGAAGGTTGTGGTGGAGGAAAGTGACTTGGGATATGACAGCAGAAGCAGAGAGAGCAATTTGGACATTTTAGTACTCAGAAATCCTTAGGGGCATGGGCTGGGGTAGTAGAAGAGCGTTTGCCTAGCATATGTGAAGCACTGGGTTCAATTCTCAGCACCACATACAAATAAATAAAGGTCCATCAACAATTAAAAGATATTTTTAAAATATTTTTTTAAAAATAAAGAAATTCTTAGGGCCAATAGTCCAGGACAAGGAGGTCTCCACTGTGCCTACAAGCAGGAAAATATATACAGGGTAGGTTGTGTGACTTTTGCACAAATTAATTTCTTCAGATGTTTTATAAATGCCTTCTTTTTCTTTACGACCAAGATCACTCTGTTTTGATCCCTACCTAAAGATTCAGATACAAGGGAAGTAGCCAGTTTCCTTCTTATCCTCATTATCACTTTCTTTCAAGTCCTTATATCTCTAGCAGGAACTGCAAGTCTTCCTAGGCACTAACTGTTGTTTACCCCCAACAAACAAGGTCCCAATTTTTTCTGAAAAAAAAATTAAATATTTTTTTGATGTAGATGGACCCAATACCTTTATTTATTTATTTTTCTGTGGTGGTGAGAAGCGAACCCAGTGCCTCACACCTGCTAGGCCAGTGCTCTACCACCATGCTACAACCCCAGCCCTTACTGAATGGTTTAATCCACAGTTTATTAAATTCATGGATGTAGAACCCAAAGATACAGCAGGCCAACTTTTAATTCCCTTGCCCTAAATTATTCTGATACACAAATACCAGGTAACTAGAGACCACCCCATTGCCCAAAGCCT